CTGAATAAAAGTCAATCACTTTTACAAACAAGGCGGATGAAAGCAAAAAGGTCGTTGTTCCCAAATAATTTTCCAGCGAACCTAGTGGACGAATTCTGACTATTCCGAGTGTGTAGAAACTCCCCGATAGGAGAACTTGTTCCATCCATAACATGGCAAACATTCGTAAATCTGCCCGTGAATTCGATTTCGCTTGCGATTTCCACGCGAATCACCGGAACGGCACCCAAACTCAAATTGAATTCCAATTCATGAGGGTACTGGGAGCCGTTCAAATGCGCCTGCCGACTCCTCTTTCGGTCTGGAAGCCGGCATCAGAGCTGAAACCTCTGACATCTAACCAATCATCAAGGTTAGAACTTCGTCTTCCGCAAAAGCGTTCACTAAATCGTAACCAAATGGAGCAGGGGTTAAACAGCCTTTGAACACGGTACTGGACAATTTTCGGGTACCCATGAGGGTTTTCGTCAAGTTTGCAGATCAAGAAATCCAGAGACAGCGTTGAGCATGAGATGCGAAATCACAACAAGGAAATCGTATTTTCTGATTGGGAAGAAAAAGGAAATATGTGTGGAAGGGAAAGAAACGATGTAGAAACTCTCTCCTCTCCCCCAGGAGAGCTACCCACTAAAATGAATATCTAAATATTTTAATAAATGTAATATAGTAACTGTAAAAAATGAAAACTGACCAATGTACTGTCACAAAAGTTATAGTTATTCTTTTTTCTTTCACTTCTTTTACAGATTCAATGCCTTAGTTTTTGGCTTTAGTCAGCTTAATTCTTGGATGCTCCGCGCACTCGGCGTCCGCTTTCAATAGAACTAGCGTTGGAGATGCGTGTGCAGCCTATACAATGAATTGTGGCGTCCCGCCGATGTGAAAGCCGAAGTTTCACCATCGCAGACGAAATCGTTATCAATTATCACACCCTTAAGGTATGAAAGGCTTGGTTGGCATGATCGGGTACCAATCCGAGACTCGAACCCCGAACAGGGCAGGTGTGGTGACCCACCCCTTGCCAACTACGCCACCTATGCCTTCAGTTAAATTATTTCTGATACCATTTCCACTATCCAACTTCTCTCTTCTTGCTACTGTGGCATAGTTAGTTACAGGTAATGTAGGTTCTCTGTGGATCTGTTTCTAGGCCTTAACGCGGAAGTGTAGTAGCGGATTCTTCCGCGCTAATGATGAGCCCCGGGCCACCGAAGACGACGATTAGATCGAAACCTTCGGCTGTTTTCAGAGGAATGTCTCACTGACTAACCTCGAAAAGCACATGGAAGCTAACTCTATTCCTAATCTCACAACGTTGGCGATTTATGGACAAAACTTCAGTCTCAAAACTATTCCTAATTATTTTATTCATTTTTATTTTTATTCGGTCGTTGACTGACATTTTTTTAATATTCATCTCGATCCTTAAGCTGTCCGCAAGCCGAAAACTTCTACTACTTTCCAAGAAAAGTAGGGCATAAGGAGATTTGGGTGTGTGAATAAGCAAACTTCACTGTAAAGGATTCCAGGGAAAATCAAATAAATAAATCAGTCGGGCAAACATGAAGGATCTCAATTTGAGTTTTTTTCTTCAGAGCTTTTTTTTGTTTTTTTTTCCATTTTCATTTTTTAGGATACATCTGAGAGATATTTGTTATTGAGCGATGAGAAGGAGGAAGAAAGAAATTTTGACGGAAACTAATCGGGTAAAAATACTGAAAATATCCAGGCAGGAATTCAGTCCGTAGCACATATTGGGCTAGGTCCTATAACGAAAGAGACAATCAGATGGGAATCAAACCTTAAGAACATTTTAGGGCTGAGAATTTCAATGAAGGAGGAAAACGTAGGCGGAAATGAAAAAGAGTTCGTTTCTGTGACAAGGAGGGACCTAATCCTTATACAGGTCCAATGAATTAGATCGGACCAGATATGACCAATCCCTCAATGGAGTTTCTTACCTGGGACAAAACAGAGCAGTGTTCTGGGAAGAATTCGTCGAAATCGCCTCGGACGAATCGGTTACAAATAAGCGATTTGCCGACGCCTTTAGTGCCTTTTACTGCCTCACGACCACTGACACCGATCACACTGACGGTGATCGTACGCTGCATCACAGCATGTTATCTGAAACCAAATACAATCGGTTTAAAGGGCTTGCTTCCAAAAATAGTAGAGCAATCGTAGATGAAACATATAGCCGAAGTAATGTGGAATAACAGACATGATAGTTGTCGACAGACAATAAAGAGAATTGCGAGCTAATTTATTTAATAAGCTCAGCTCCGATTAGTCAGACCAATTCGATTAACCCATCCAAAGGGTCCATACATCAGTAAACGACAAAAAGCAAGAAATAGCTGAGCAAAGAAGTCCAAACTTAGCGAAGCCAAAGAAGGCCAAAAAAGCATATGGGAAGAAAAACTTCGGTCAGGCCCTTAAAAGGGCACAGTAATCAGGACCTAACTCTGATGTAAAACTCTGATAATCTCTGCATCGAGACATTTCTCTTGACATGAACGTGGACAATATGAGCAATTTTCCGATGGTATGCGTCAGGTTTTGAAATTCCTTTTTAATAACTGAAAATACGTAAATTGGTCCAAGCAAGCCCTGACGAAAAAATTTTTCAAATTATATTGTCCTACGTAGTGTCCATAAACGGGCAGTTGCAAGAACATGATAATGCTTAAAGAGAGAATTCGAACCTCCGAATATAAATGGAGTTCCGGACTATATACCAGGGGTAGCCGTTGGAAACACAAAACCCAGAAAAAAATGAATCGGTGAAAGGGCCCTACTGTTAGAAAAAAGTGGTTATCCAAATCATGATTGGGAATAAATGATGAGCTGTGAGCAGATTAATCACTCAATCCTGTAGGAGATGAATTCAAGAGCGTGTAGAGAGA